TCTTGGTATATTTCCGTTTCTTTTTAGATTTTGTGAAGTTAAAATTCCATTTTTGTTGGGTTTTAAAGAATGTAGCGAGCTGTTACTACACGGTGGCTATCACAACAAGCTGTTCGTCTCCAAGATATACTCGTGATCAGATTAGTATTGCTTTTGGTGATGCTTATGGCAATCAGGTTTGGTCTCCAACTGGTTTTTTAGTTTATGAAGATGAGATTTTTTTTAATGTTGATTTATTCTTAATTATAGATATGTTTGTTTATTGTGGTGGCATGTTGACTGTAATAATCATCAATACTGGTTTTTGTTACTCAAAAGACATTTTTTTTGGGTTATTTATCTTCTAAACCCTAGAATTTATACTCAAGCTGACCTTCTGTAAAGAATGTATGTAGTATTGACTTGTCAATGGCTGAGCCTTGGAAGTTGGAACTATAATGGGGTGGAGAACTAATTTCTTGTCTCTTAGAGGTATTTCCTTGCTAAGACTACTACGTACTAGCTAAATGTTTTCTTGAGAAATTAAGTTAGTGGTAGGACTTAGGAGTACTGTGTTCATGTTCTTCAAGCTTCAAGTATGTGTACAAATAGAACAAATTCCTAAATGTGTTTGACTGGGAGGAAAGGAAAGAGAGGTGTCTTTAAAATATGGAATGAGAGGGTAAGTATTGTACATGTGTATGTGAGGGCAGAGGAGAGTGAAAAGTAAGGTTTAATTAGAATTGAAGGTTGTTCAGGAAAAAAAGAATTGAAGGCATGATTGTATTTGTTCATATTACTAGAGGATGGAGGGGATTAGTAAGGTAAAATTGGAAAAGTAAGTCAAAAATTAAATCCATTCTATGTAGAGGGGATAGAGTTATATAGTTAGAGTAATGATAAACCCCCCAATACCCTCAAATTCTAAATGAGATTGAAATGTTCATTCGTTTTTTCTTTCTTTCCCCTTGGAACTTTCTTATCCATGGTGTAAGTGGTGTGTGTTTCATTTTGGTTTCCTAGTGTATGTTGAAATTTAGGTATATTTTTGGTGAAAACTGTTGCTCATAGCAAGGGATTCAAGAAAAATTCCAGGCCATTTGATTTATGAGTTTGCTATTTTACTTTATTGTTCAGATTTATGCACCAAGGTTGGACGATCCATCTACAGGAACATTTGAACGGTGTTCCTCCGATACGTTTCAGATAGCTGGACCATGTGCATATCAGATATGCTATGTCTATCTCTACAGAAGTGGCCGAGATGGTTGGAAGCCTGGCACAGTGACTATTTCTGGTTATTATTCAAGGACTATTACATTTACCTACAATACTTTCATCCCCAGAGACGTTTGGTATGGCTTTAATTATTGCAACAATGCCTCGTCTTCACTTCAGCAACGAATTCCAAGATGGTTTATGTACGTGATTCTGGCGGTTCTTGCTAGTTTTATATTCTAACTCTGGATGAGTTACAAGCAGAACATTGGTGGTTGCTGGGACTATTGCCTGCAACTTATCCTCACAGCCATGCTGCAGAAGACTCGGCAAACCTTTTCCATATTTCTAATATGGTGTAAAGTAGTAAGTAACTAGTTTCTATCCTTATGAGTGGATTCCCATTGGTTTAAGAAGTTTAGCCAGTAAAACTCTCATGTGATCGTGTAGCTGCAGCATGAATTTTACTGATTGTGTTGCCAATTGTGAGGTTATCAATAAATATTAGGTTGGATCACAAGTAAAAGTGTAAAACTCTCTTTGAACACCATCTTGTGATTGTGTAGCTCTTAGATTGTGTTTTTAACCTGCTGTTGATTGTCAAGGTGCGAGCCATAGAGGCTGTCCATAGTCCATACAACTGGACTATTTGTTGAAGGTGCAGCCTGCTGTCTTCTTTGTTGTTTGTTCAAAGACATATAGGTTTTTTTTTGTGAACTGGTGGAATGGTTAGCAATTAGTTGTTAGCTGGCCAATTTGACCACCTCAGACAGTTGAGGGGCTATATCGCCTCAAAATTTGAGGTCTTGACAGGCAGGTCAAATCTTCCTAGTCCTAGAGAGATTCGAACCTAGGAGTCCTACCAGCCAATCTAAAGGTGGACTGGTTGGTTAGACCTGCTTTGCTTCCTGCCACTCATTTTAGGTTCTGGAAAAAGTGTCTACTGTTCGTTTAGCTTTTATTTGTGTTCCTTCCACCACACACTGGCATCCAGCCTTTCAATTTGCCAAAGCCAACCGTTTCTGGCTGTTGCCTGTGCATGGTCACAAAAGAAAGAGCAAATGTTACACTTCTTTCGTTACAATACCCTTACGAACCTCTGTGCTTGTTGATGATTGATGCTTCTTCTGAAAAGATCAGATTGTGTAGGAAGTGAATTTTCCTCAGCATGCCAAACAAAAACTTTTCCTTTAGGTGGAACCTGAATTTGCCAAGTACTGTGTTTAACGTCCCTAGACCTCCCTGCTACAGTTCTTTGCTTTCAAAATCAGTAGCAAAATACAATTCTCTTCCCCCACTTCCAAAGTTCCCAGTCTCTCTGCATTATTGTCAATTTGTCATTTATGCCACCACCCCACCAAGACGAGGCTAGGTGGCTAGCTAACATTTCTCTGTGACGGTGATTCTATTACATAAAAACAGACTGAGCTATTATTGTATTAATTAACATTAGCTAATATGAACAAAAAAAATCATAAAGCTAGAAGCTAGAAAATGCAGAACAAACAGTGGCCGACTCTTCCATCCTGAATCTTGATAATAGGTAAGCAAGAATTTCTCACTTTTCTTTACGCTGAGGGGTTAGGCCACACAACAATGTCTTTCTTCTCTCAGGTGGTATCTCAGTCCGTTCACTCCTCCTCTTGGCAGAACGATTCTATCACCCATTTGCTCCAGTAGAATGATTGTTTTCCAATCTAATGGAAAGCCTAAAGTTCCATTCTTGATGAAGGGTATCTGTTACTTCATGCACCATAATATTCGGTAAAATTAAGTTTTTGAGACGGAGGTGACACTAATTGTGGCAGGTTTTTTTAGGCCAACTGTTATTAAAGTTTGGTGTCTAAATAACTTGGGTCACTAATGTCCATCTCCATGAGCTTGAAATCACTAATTTAGCATTCGACGATTAGTCATAATGTCCCACTCCTAACAAATAGATTAGGCTTGGCATTGAACCAGATTTTCAGTCACATGAAATGCGACTGATCCAATTTTGTCTTGATTCGAGAGGTCAAATGTGTTTTTAGCTGTATAAAAAGGGTATTCCTCTTTCGTTCCTTAATCACATTTCATCCTTTCAAGGGTTTTAACCATAGACTTCCAAATAAAAAACTTAAGGTTTATTCATTGAACTATTCATGCAGGGACTGAAATTGATCTAACTTATAAATTCTTTATAATTGACTGCAGAATTAACAGGCATATCACAACACATATTAATGGCTTTTGATGAAGTCAGAAAGACTTTCGATGGATGATATGACTCTCCAATGGCTGATGTTAGGGGTGTAATATTTGCTGAGAGATGGTAGTTGTGGTGGAATGAACTCCAATAGAAGTCTTCCTGTTTGGGTGGAAGACCTTTTGATGATCTCATTAGTGTATAAAGGAAGGAATAACCAGAGAAGATTTTTAAACAAAAGTGAATAAGAAAATGAATAGTGGTAGCAAAAAAAGAGATTCAGAACCCTATAATTATGTCTTTGGTTGGTCATATAAGCTAAATGACTTGTCAAATTGCATGGAAAGAAGGGATAGAATGGTGGATGCTCTTGATGTCAACAACCTATAATACAAACTTGGAGGATAAGTGTTTTTGATTTTGATGTCAACAACCTATAGTACTTTTGGGAGAACATGTTAGCGTCATCATTGGTGTTGGTTAGACAAAAATAGCTTTGAGACCGTGTCTTCATTTAATAAATGTATTATCTATCTTTTTTTATTGATGCTGATTGGTTTGACTGTTCAGACTAGGATAGTTGGAGCTTCTCTTGCGAATGTAGTTCTCTCCTACCAAACTTTTATTTGGATAAATAACTTGGTTAAAAAAGAAATAGGATGATGACACTTGGCATTTGAATGTATAATATGTGATTAAAAAAAATAAAACTTCAACAACATTCTTATGCAAAGTGCCTATTAAATTAAATTAAATTTCCATTAATCTTTCAAATTTTATCGGATTTCCCAAAAGGGATTTGCCATTCTTTCAACTGATACAAGATTCAAATTCACTCACAAAAAAAGAAGTGCTTATTTGCAGGGTGTAAAAAGCTTACCCCTTGTTTGGATAATTCCTCTTGGGAGGAAAGAAAAGGGAAGAAAAAAGTGAGAGAAAAGAAAAAAGAGAGGAAAAAAAATCATTTTTCATTTGTTGTTTGAATAAGAGTGGAAAAGAAAGAAAAGAAAATACATTTTTCTTGTTTGGATAATTGTAAAAAGAGAAAGAAAAGAAAATGTATTATTGTATATTTACTATAATACCCATATGATTATATTTCTATATTTAAATACTTATAATAAATTTGTATGAATATTTTTTTCATGAAAATAACACAAATGATAATAAAATAAAAATCTAGCATGTAGCATCTATATGAAATGATAAGATAGATAATGAATTGTCTCTATAGAATAATCGATAACTCGTTTATTAATTAATTAATTCAATAGCCAATTTAGATTAATTATCAACATAAAATTAATTTAAATATGTATAACATGTATTATTATCTATACATATAATAAGTTAGTTGTTTTTACCCATCATTTTCTTCGTTTTTTTTAGAATAAACAATTACTATTTGTAATTAAATTTATTATTTAAATTTAGTTTTCAATGTAAAAAAAATGCTTTCTTGTCAACATTGCAAAGGCTTTGAGTAGTTGTAGTGCAAGCACGAGTGATATTATCAGCACCACAAAGAGGCTCAAAGAGGAACTCGAAATCACCACTCAAAGACAAAACATTGTCTCCTGCTTCCTTCACGATTATTAGCTCTCTAACCAAGAGATCAATGCTCTTTAGGGATGAGGACCTCAATGATAACTTCTTCAAGGCTCTTTCCCATGTGCAACAAATCCACGCCAACTGCAAGGTCCTGCTACGTACACACCATCAGCGTGTTGGTTTGGAGCTCGTGGATATGATGGCTGTCTACCAAGAAGGAGCCTATGAGCGCTTTTGCAGGTAAACCCACCAGCCCTCATTTTATTTATAACCGCTTGTTTCATTTTAATTTGAGGGATGCATGCTTTCTGTTTCTTTGTTTTCTCATTTCTTCAAACATTTCCCCTATCTTGTATGGCTTAATTTAAAAGATGTTGTTCCTTTATGTATATATATAATTATGTGGGTGGGTTCAGGCAGAGTGTAGGAAATTGGGTGACACTGATAATCCTGAAGTTGGTGAGCTTTTGAAAACAGCTGTCCGTTGCCTCAAGGAAAGGCCCTAACAGCTTCCGTGAGAGAGAGAGATCATGTTTGCAGAGACGAGATGATGGCAGAGAAACAGAAGGGAACGGCTAAAGGCAAGGGCGAAACTGAGAAAAACAAAAAAAAAAAATTCCATTCCTCCCGTTTTTCTCCCCGTTTCCTCCCAGTTTTGGAAGAAAAACGAGTCCCATTATTTTTGTATTGTTTATTATTATTTTTTCTTTCCACTGCTTTCCTCCTTTCCAAACGATGAAAACATTTCTTTTCACCCCATTTTCTTTACTCTCCCCTACTTTCCACCCTATCCAAACAAGGGGTTAAGCTGAAGGAATCTCTCTATGTTTTTGTATTTTTTACAGAGGCAATCATACAAGAAGGAAAATGGTTCCTGCCGGAAAATCAAATACCTCTGGATTGTAAACAAAATATCTCTGGGTTTGTTCAGAAACATGGCTCTAAGAAGCTACTCCAGTACGTAATATTCAAGCCTTACACAACATGTGAAATGCCGAGCAAGTATGGACTCATTTTGACACTAAGACATGTCGTTTTCTTTGGCAGATGATCCATATTTCTGCAATAAATTGTCACCTTAATACCTTTTTTTCAATTAGAAAGTGAAATTGTTATTTATGAGTCATGGATACAAAGTCATCAAGCCATTAAATTAATCCACTCGATCGGTAGGTATGCGATGTTACTGATCAGCTTAGCTAGGCAAGTGGTTTCGCAACTTTGTCAACTGTGCACAAGTCCTGTCGAGCTGAACTTTGGAGATTTATCCGCAGTTGGAAGATTTGAAATTTGGCTCAAAGGGAGGTCAATATATTTTGCTGTTGTGTCAATGTGTATGCTAATATGACAATTAATAGGTTAATCCATTAAGAAATTCAATAAGAAAATAATTAAATAGAAAAATGACTAAAATTAATAAAAGAAAAAAAGTTTTTAATATATTTGGCTTGAAAAGAAAAAAGTTTTTATTTTTTGCTTTGTTTAGTTTCTATCATTATGAGTGGATTCCCATTGATTTAAGAACTATAGCCAGTGAAACTCTCATGTGATTGTGTAGCTGCAGCATTAATTTTACTGATCGTGTAGCCAATTGTGAGGGTATCAAGAATTTGAGGTCTTGACAGGCAGGTCAAATCTTCCTAGTCCTAGAGAGATTCGAAACTAGTAGTCCTACCAGCCAATCTTAAGGTGGACTGGTTGGTTAGACCTGCTTTGCTTCATGCCACTCATTTTAGGTTCTGGAAAAAGCGTCTACTGTTTGTTTAGCTTTTACTAATTGGATACCTAAGTTATGTCATGGGTAGACAATCATTATATACATATGGTTAATGATTCATATAATGTAATACGAGTAAAAAGTTTTATTTTTTGTGATTAATAAAATCAAATCTATATGTAATTAATTTCTAACAAAACTAATGTTATGTATATATAATAGATTCATAGTATATAGAATAAATAAAAAAATATAAAATATCACCTAAATTGTAGAAATATATTGAAGTCAACAAATTAAATTAAAAACTACAATAAAATTGGTTATGACGAATTCTAAATAAATATACATAAAAAAGCAAATAAAACTTATAAAATTTTTTATTCATTATTATTTTTTAAAAAATAAAATTGAGTCAAACTATCTAAAACATAGTTTTAGCTCTCTCTCTCTCTCTCTCTCTCTCTCTCTCTCTCTCTCTCTCTCTCTCTCTCTCTATATATATATATATATATATATATATATATATATATATAAGTAAAACACTCATTTAAAAATATAAAAATAATTTATTGTATAAATCATAATAATAAAAACAAGTCAAATTATTTTTTTAATTGATTATTATTTTAAAAAAATGAATTTAAATTATTTAAAACACACTTTTAGCTCTTTCTTTTTCATTAGAATTTATATAAGTAACAACGCCATTTTCATATAAAAATCATAAAAATAATCAATCATATAAATTATAATAATATATGTTAAAAAATAAATTTAAGTAAATAATCAATCATATGAAAATAAATTATTTGGTTGTGTTTGTTTATGTTCATTTATTGGCTGGATTAAATTTGTTTTGTGTCATAATTTGTTGATTGATTTGAGGGTGTTTGAGGAGTGTTTCTTGTTGAAATATTACCAGTGAAATTCATCTTGAAGGTTATCTGTGTTTGTCTTCTACATGCTAGGGTTGTCTTTTGCGAATCCAATATCAATAAAGATAATTGTAATAAGTACAAAAAAATTAAAATTATATAATATCATAGTGATTAATTGTATCAATATTACTTGAACTTTTCCTTTTAATAGCTAAATAAAATTGTGTTTAAAATTTTTTTAAGCAAACATTAATTTTTAAGAGAAACAATCATCATTTTATTTATTTTCTCTTATCAATTGCTTAAGAATTTTCATGCTTATATAAGAATAGAATAAATTAAGAACAAATTAACTATTAAACTACAATTAATATTTTTAATAGATTCACAACAACCTGTAACAACCATGTAATAGCTAGCAACCATTGGAATGATTATTAATAGTCATTAAAATTATTTTCTATTTGGCAAATTCTATCCTTTTTTGTTTCATAATTTCAAGAATTCCTCCTCCTCCTCCTCCTTTGACAGACCTAAACGCTTCAATAGACTAATTTCCACAAAACACAACCCCCCCCCCCCCCCCCAATATTTTATCCTTAAAAACTCACAAAATTCTCATTCAAATCCATGTCAAGGTCCGGTAACGAAAGTCTGCATAATCTTTTAAAAGAATTCAAGTGGGGGACTGATTTGGGATCTGTCCTAAAAATCAAGCTAGAACTCCATTGATGACTATGATGAATGTTTTCTAATTCTTTGAAGATCCAATTTATTTATTTTTTTCCTTGGAAGAAAACATTGAGAATTGGGGAATGATTTAATGGACTTCTCCCATAGAGGATTTAGTGATCTAAAAATGGTAAGTACAATATTTTCTTTTATTTATAACTAATATAGATGAAATTCAATTCCAATTTCCAAATGCATTTTAAGGAAATGAATCAAATAAAAAAATTAAAATTTTAGCTCGAGTGATAAATGGGTTTACTTTCACTTTTGTTAGATAGGTTTTTATTTTTATGATAGAAAATTCTTATGAGTGCAATAATGCATATATAGATGACTTAAGAATTCAATGAAACAATCATTTGTTCCGACGAGAATTCAAGAACTAGACAGTCCAGTTCAACATTTTTTTTTTTAATAAGATAATCACATTACAGGTTCATCAACTTTTAACGGTTTCTTAATTGACTTAAAATTTTTTCGTTTAAGTATACTAATTTTTTAAAATTATCAATTAAATATTTTTATCTAATTTCTGTTAATTGTTCTATTTATTTCATTTATCCTATATTACTAAATTATGATTTTACTCTTTTATTATTAGAAGAAACTCTCCCCCAAATTATTTCATTATTTTTTTTCATACTTTTCAACAGTAAATAATTATAATTTAGTAGTCCAAGAAAAAAAATATTTCACAAGATAACAGAACAATTGAAAGAAACTGGACAAAAAAAAAATTGATTGGTTGTGTTTGAAAAAATTGATGGACTCAAACAAAAAAAATTAAAAATTATATACTCAATTGAAAAATATTAAATATTAATATACTTATTACAGTACAATTAGTTCGTGTGTTGGGGGGGGCGGCCATACTGGGGTGGGGGTTTTGAAAAACCATCAAACCGCTGGTCAACATACTGGGGTGGGGGTTTTGAAAAACAATCAAACCGCTGGTCAACGTATTGGTTATAATGTAGATAATAAGATGTAAGTTAAATGATTGTCAATTTGTCACATGATGGTCAAAATCAAATAGATAGAGTTTAAGGTGTTGTTTTTATGTGAATATGAGAGTTTAGAGGATTTTTTTTATTAGAAATAAAAAAGTTGAAATTATTTTACAGTGATACAATGTTGGTATTTATAGCAAATTAAAAAAATAAATCCTAACCATTATAACCGTATCACATCATCATTGTTTGAATGATCATATTTGAATTCAATAAAATCGAGTAATTTTGAACTAAAATGTTTCAATTTATTATAAAAAATTACAAGAAGTAATAATTGATTTTTTTTTTATCAAATCCTACTTCGACCCCATCAAAATAATCTCTCTAATTTATTTCAAAAATAAAATATGAATATTGTCTTTCAAAATACCAATGTTTATCTTTACGCTTTAGACATTGTACTACAAAATATTAGTATCCAACCTAGTACGTTAAAAGCCTTGTGTTAGATAAAGTTTATTCTCAATAAAATTCATTCGTTACGTAATTTAGACGTATGCAAAAAAAACATAAATTAACAATAATAAAATTAATTAAATTACTTAACTAATTTTTATCGCTAAATTAAACACCTACATAGCGTTTTTCGTTTTTCGTTTTTTGTTTTTTTCCAGCATTGTGCTCAACAAGACTTCGTGTGCAAGAGAAATCTTAGCAAATCCTTTCGTCGGAATGTTGTCTAGTAAAACGAGACCTACTATCATTTTGTCTTTTATGTACTTGCCAAAAACCTCCATATATAAATTCTAGCCTACGTTTTCTCTTTGACAGCCACTTCTCCTCCTCCCAACCACCCTTCCTCTCTTGCTTCCCGCTTACTTAGACAAAATGAGAAAATCCCATAGTTTTCTCCTCTTTTACTGTGCTTTTATTTTTGTTCTTGGCCTATCCCAAGCTGATCAATCAACAATTAGCCACCTCCAGCCTCAAGCTGTTGAGTCTTTCAATCTCAGTTTAATCCAGGTAATTAACACGTACCCCATTAATTAATCCTTCATATAGTCACTATTTCTTGGTATATTTCCGTTTCTTTTTAGATTTTGTGAAGTTAAAATTCCATTTTTGTTGGGTTTTAAAGAATGTAGCGAGCTGTTACTACACGGTGGTTATTACAACAAGCTGTTCGTCTCCAAGATATACTCGTGATCACATTAGTATTGCTTTTGGTGATGCTTATGGCCATCAGGTTTGGTCTCCAAATGGTTTTTTAGTTTATAAAGATGAGATTTTTTTTTAATGTTGATTTATTCTTAATTATAGATATGTTTGTTTATTGTGGTGGCATGTTGACTGTGATAATCATCAATACTGGTTTTTGTTACTCAAAAGACATTTTGTTTTGGGGTTATTTATCTTCTAAAGCCTAGAATTTATACTCAAGTTGACCTTCTGTAAAGAATGTATGTAGTATTGACTTGTCAATGGCTGAGCCTTGGAAGTTGGAACTATAATGGGGCGGAGAACTAATCTCTTGTCTCGTAGAGGCATTTCCTTGCTAAGACTACTACGTACTAGCTAAATGTTTTCTTGAGAAATTAAGTTAGTGGTAGCACTTAGGAGTACTGTGTTCATGTTCTTCAAGCTTCAAGTATGTGTACAAATAGAACAAATTCCTAAATGTGTTTGACTGGGAGGAAAGGAAAGAGAGGTGTCTTTAAAATATGGAATGAGAGGGTAAGTATTGGATATGTGTAAGTGAGGGCAGAGGAGAGTGAAAAGTAAGGTTTAATTAGAATTGAAGGGTGTTCAGGAAAAAAAAGAATTGAAGGCATGATTGTATTTGTTCATATTACTAGAGGATGAAGGGGATTAGTAGGGTAAAATTGGAAAAGTAAGTCAAAAATTACATCCATTCTATGTAGAGGGGATAGGGTTATATATTTAGAGTAATGATAAACCCCCCAATACCCTCAAATTCTAAATGAGATTGAAATGTTCATTCGTTTTTTTCTTTCTTTCCCCTTGGAACTTTCTTATCCATGGTGTAAGTGGTGTGTATTTCATTTTGGTTTCCTGGTGTATGTTGAAATTTAGATGTATTTTTGGTGAAAACTGTTTTTGTCGTAGCAAGGGATTCAAGAAAAATTCCTGGCCATTTGATTTATGAGTTTGCTATTTTACTTTATTGTTCAGATTTATGCACCAAGGTTGGATGATCCATCTACAGGAACATTTGAACGGTGTTCCTCCGATACATTTCAGATAGCTGGACCATGTGCGTATCAGATATGCTATGTCTATCTCTACAGAAGTGGCCGAGATGGTTGGAAGCCTGGCACAGTGACTATTTCTGGTTATTATTCAAGGACTATTACATTTACCTACAATAATTTCATCCCCAGAGACGTTTGGTATGGCTTTAATTATTGCAACAATGCCTAGTCTTCACTTCAGCAACGAATTCCAAGATGGTTTATGTACGTGATTCTGGCGGTTCTTGCTAGTTTTATATTCTAACTCTGGATGAGTTACAAGCAGAACATTGGTGGTTGCTGGGACTATTGCCTGCAACTTATCCTCACAGCCATGCTGCAGAAGACTCGGTAAACCTTTTCCATATTTCTAATATGGTGTAAAGTAGTAAGTAACTAGTTTCTGTCCTTATGAGTGGATTCCCATTGGTTTAAGAACTATAGCCAGTAAAACTCTCGTGTGATTGTGTAGCTGCAGCATGAATTTTACTGATTGTGTTGCCAATTGTGAGGTTATCAATAAATATTAGGTTGGATCACAAGTAAAAGTGTAAAAACTCTCTTTGAACACCATCTTGTGATTGTGTAGCTGTTATAATGTGTTTTTAACCAGCTGTTGATCGTCAAGGTGGGAGCCATAGAGGCTGTCCATAGTCCATACAACTGGACTATTTGTCGAAGGTGCAGCCTGCTGTCTTCTTTGTAGTTTGTTCAAAGACATATAGGTTTTTTTTTTTTTTTGTGAACTGGTGGAATGGTTAGCAATTAGTTGTTAGCTGGCCAATTTGACCACCTCAGACAGTTGAGGGGCTATATCGCCTCAAAATTTGAGGTCTTGACAGGCAGGTCAAATCTTCCTAGTCCTAGAGAGATTCGAACCTAGGAGTCCTACCAGCCAATCTAAAGGTGGACTGGTTGGTTAGACCTGCTTTGCTTCCTGCCACTCATTTTAGGTTCTGGAAAAAGTGTCTACTGTTCGTTTAGCTTTTATTTGTGTTCCTTCCACCACGCACTGGCATCTAGCCTTTCAATTTGCCAAAGCCAACCGTTTCTGGCTGTTGCTTGTGCATGGTCACAAAAGAAGAGCAAATGTTACACCTCTTTCGTTACAATACCCTCACGAATCTCTGTGCTTGTTGATGATTGATGCTTCTTCTGAAAAGATCAGATTGTGTAGAAAGTGCATTTTCCTCAGCATGCCAAACAAAAACTTTTCCTTTAGGTGGGACCTGAATTTGCCAAGTACTGTGTTTCACGTCCCTAGACCTCCCTGCCACAGTTCTTTGCTTTTGAAATCAGTAGCAAAATACAATTCTCTTCCCCCACTTCCAAAATCCCCAGTCTCTCTGCATTATTGTCAATTTGTCATTTATGCCACCACCCCACCAAGACGAGGCTAGGTGGCTAGCTAACATTTCTCTGTGACAGTGATTCTATTATATAAAAACAGATTGAGCTATTATGATATTAATTAACATTAGCAAATATGAACAAAAAAAATCATAAAGCTACAAGCTAGAAAACGCAGAACAAACAGTGGCCGACTCCTCCATCTTGAATCTTGATCATAGCTAAGCAAGAATTTCTCACATTTGTTTACACTGAGGGGTTAGGCCATACAACAATGTCTTTCTTTCTCCTCTCAGGTGGCATCTCAGTCCGTTTACTCCTCTTCTTGGCAGGACGATTCTATCTCCCATTTACTCCAGTAGAACGATTGTTATCCAATCTAATGGAAAGCCTAAACTTCCATTCTTGATGAAGGGTATCTGTTACTTCACCATAATATTTGGCAAAATTAAGTTTTTGAGACGGAGGTGACACACTAATTGTGGCAGATTTTTTTAGGCCAGCTGTTAATAGAGTTTGGTGTCTAAACAATTTGGGTCACTAATGTCCATCTCCATGAGCTTGAAATCACTAATTAAGCAGTCGACGATTAGTTATGATGTCCCACTCCTAACAAATAGATTAGGCTCGGCACTGAACAAGATTTTCAGAGTCACATGAAATGCGACTGATCCAAAGGTCAAATGTGTTTTTAGCTGTATAAAAAGGGTATTCCTCTTTTTTCCTAAATCACAGTTCATCCTTTCAAGGGTTTTAACCATAGACTTCCAAATTAAAAACCTGAGCTTTAATCATTGAAGTTTTCATCGAGGGACTGAAATTGATCTAACTTACAAATTCTTTATAATTGACCGCAAAATTAGCTGGCATATCACAACACATATTAATGGCTTTTGATGAAGACAGAAAGACTTTCGATGGATGATATGACTCTTCAATGGCTGATGTTAGGGGTGTAATATTTGCTGAGAGATGGCAGTTGTGGTGAAATGAACTCGTCCAATACAAGTCTTCCTGTTTGGGTGGAAGACCTTTTGATGATTTCATTAGTGTATAAAGGAAGGAATAACCAGAGAAGGTTTGTAATACAAGAGTGAAGAAGAAAATGAAGAGTGGTAGCAAAAAAAAGACTGGTATAATTATAAGCTTTTTGGTTGGTTACATAAGCCAAAACACTCGTCAAATTGCATGGAAGAAAGGATAGAATGGTCATTTCATTTTGGAAGGACATGTTAGCATCATTATTGGTGTTAATTTATTGGTGTGTTAGACAAAAATAATTTTGAAAACGTGCCTTCATTTAATAAAGGTATCATCTATCTTTTTTGGTTGATAGGGTTTTGGTTTGTCTATTCGGAGTAGGGTAGTTCGGGCTTTTCTTGTTATTTATGAGTCATGGATACAAAGTCATCAAGCCATTAAATTAATCCACTCGATCGGTAGGTATGCGATGTTACTGATCAGCTTAGCTAGGCAAGTGGTTTCGCAACTTTAGCAACTGTGCATAAGTCCCGTCGAGCTGAACTTTGGAGATTTATCCGGAGTTGGAAGATTTGAAATTTGGCTCAAAGGGAGGTCAATATATTTTACTGTTGTGTCAATGTGTATGCTAATATGACAACTAATAGGTTAATCCATTAAGAAATTAAATAAGAAAATAATTAAATAGAAAATGAATAAAATTAATAAAAGAAAAGGTTATGTTTGGCTTGAAAGGAAAGAAGTTTTTGTTTTTTGTTTTGTTTAGTGCCTTGACCGAGGTCTGTAAATAGAAAAGTATAATAATATTTTGACAGAATATCTGTCACAAAAAGCATCAACCAAAAATAAATAAAGATTTTTTGTTTTTTTGCTTATTGACAAGGCTTAAAAAAAGTAAGATTTTTGATGGTAGATTTCAAGTTTACATAATAAGATGAATTTAGGTAGAAAATTAAGTTGTATTACATTCAATATTTTTACTTTTCAAGTTAAGAAAAAAAAAAACTTGAGTCGGAGTTGGTTTTATAATTTTTTTTAATACAATAAAAAAAGTTCGATGTTTTTCTTAATTTATGGAGAGATAGAAATTAAAGAGTTTAAAAACAATGAAAGACTAATATATTTGGTGGATGGCCAAGGAACTTTCCTGGAAATGCCAGGATGGTGAAGTTGTGGACGCTGACAACCAAAATATGCAAGGGACGAAAAGATGCCATAATTTCAAGTTCAGGTAGATGTGATGGTTAAGTAAATTGCAGAATCAGGAAAGCATAAAAAAAAGTTAATATAATTTTCCACAACAAATTTTAAGGTCTAAAAAGACTCGGGGGAGACGCATCCGTACTTGTGATTTTTTTTTTTTTGCCAACTTCTATCAAAATTTGTTGTCATGTCAATATAAACAATTAGTGATGAACGGATATTTCTATCATAGTTTTAAATCATAGTTTAAAAAATAATTACGATCGTTATTATATATCGTGATTTGTTATAATACTAAAACAATGATAACGAAATAGTTTAAAATCATCACATAACGCTCGTTATATAACGTAATAATCGTTATTTAAAACTATAGTCTATCCATGAGCATAAACCAATTGCTTTAATAAAAGATTACATTAATATGAAAATTATTGCCAACTTCCATTAAACATTACATTATTATTCCTAATTTAATAAGATTTTTTATAGTAAAGAGTAAGATCGATGTTATTTTAAATAGTATGTTAAAAAATAGAAAAGGAAGGAATTCTTTTCTCATTGATGATTCAAAATCATTCATTTTACATTCTACCACCTCCAAAATATATACGCTAGCGATAAATATTCTAGGTCTTAAAAATCGGAAACGGAATTGCTAAGTTTGTTATTTCTTGTATGCCAATCATTGGTCGCTCCTAGTCTCGAGATGGATTCTTTCTCCTAGCCTCTTGGATCGGCTTGATAAGCGGCGGTAGTTACAATTCTCATGTGTTATGCATGGTATAATAGAAATATAACAAACTCTGCTCCTTTCATCCGTAATGTATTCCATGCATCTTCATACATGAGGGTTGCATATATATATATATATATATATATTAACACTCCCCCTCAAGTTTGAGGTTGGTGTATATATTGCTAACCCTAAAGTTCCTCAATAAATATTTGTATTGTTTATTATCGAGACATTTGAAGGTCCGTTGGTTGCTCTTCGGTAGATATGTGTTGAGTGATGATCGAGTCTTTGTTAAGCCGTTCTCTTACCAAGTGACAATCCAAATCTATGTGTTTTGTTCTTTCGTGAAAAACTAGATTGTTGAATATGAATAAAGCTGATTTGTTGTCATAAAACAATGTTGTCGGCTTCGTTTTCTCTTTCTCCAAATCTTGAAATAGCCTTAATATCCATATGACTTCACATACCGCATTTGTCATGGCTTTATACTCCGATTCAACTAATGATCTAGAGACGAGTGCCTTGCTTTTTTATCTTCCATAATATTGTAGAATCTCTTATCTTGATGAGAAATCGTAAAGCCGACTTCCTAGTCATACAACATGATGCCCGATTTGAGTCATAGTACACTTCTAGCTCCAGATGGCTTGTGGATGACATTAATAATTCCATTATTGGATCTCTTTCAAATATCTCGGAACCCTATAACCTACTACCAAATGAGATTGTTTCGGCCTATGCATGAATTGACTTAAAAGTCGCACACTATAGGAAAGATCCGGTCTCGTGATTGTCACATATATAAGCTTTTCAATGAGCATTTGATAACTTGTAGGATCTATCATCTCTTGATCCCCCATTTCTTTCTTGGGCCCCTCATCAAACTCTGTTGTAGTGAGTTTTAAGTTACGCTCAATAGGTGTGTCTAAAGGTCTTGCATTGATCATCCCGAGTTTCCTTAAGTAGTTCCTCGATGTATTTCCTTTGTGTCAAGCATATTCCTTCCTTTGATCTTGCCATCTCTATCCCTAAGAAGTATCTCAAGTCACCAAGATCTTTTATATGGAATTTTTATGCAAAAAATTCTTCAAGGTCGTTATTTCTTCATTGTCACTTCATGTAATAATCGTATCATCTACATACGTAAGCAAGATAACTATTTTTTCATCATTTTTTTTATAAAAAGAGAATAATCATTAAGTGATTGATTGAATCTTGCTTGTAACATAGCCTTATAGAACTTTATGTTCTATTGTTTGTTGGCTTGTATTAAACCGTACAATGACTTGAGTAACTTACGTACTTTTTACTACCCTTAACTTTAAAAACTTCTAGAATTGTCATATATACTTCTTCATTTAAGTCTTCTTATAGAAATGCATTTGTTACATCCATTTGCATCAATCTCTAACCTTTGATAGCAGTTAAAGCAATCATAGACCTTACTCGTTGCCATTTTGACAACTAGTGAAAAAATCTCCTTATAATCAATTCTCTCCTTCGAGTGTATCCTTTGGTAAAAAGTCTTGCCTTGTACATTTTAATGCTTCCATCTAAATTACACTTCACTTTATGCACCCATTTGCACCCTATTGGTTTCTTTCCCTTTG